AATGAATGTATAAAGGAACAGAACATTCTGTTGTCTATGCAGACATGGAATGCCAGGGGTCAGACTCATGAATTTTTGTGCATGCTGAGCAAGTGCTCCAGCACTGACCTACACCTCCAGCCCACACTCTGTATTTTGAAACATTTATTACACACACTCCAAAGGATAAAGCACAAGGAATATAATGGTGATCAATAGGTCTGACTCGATCCTATTGTTCGCTAAGGATTCTGGCATCTGGATCACTGCTGCCTCCTCACCTCAAGTTGTTGCTGATGTCACTGTTTTGCAGTGCTGGGACCAGAAGCATATCCTCACAACAAGCCAGGCAAACACCCTACAACTAAACTATACTCCATCCCTCATTCATCCCAAGCTCAGAAGCCATCCATGTTCCTCTCATTGGTCCTCATAACTCAACGTCTCAGTGCCTGCATGATTTAACAACTCATTTTTTTTTTTTTGTCAGTCATGGGGCTTGAACTCAGGGCCTGGGCACTGTCTCTGCGCTCTTTTGCTCAAGGCTAGCACTCTACCATTTAAGCACAGCACTACTTCCAATTTTTTGAGTAGTTAATTGGGGATAACAGTCTCTCGGGGACTTCTCTGCCTGGGCTGGCTTAAAACCGAAATCCTGAGACCTCAGCCTCCTGAGTAGCTAGGATTGCAGCATGACTTTCCAACTTTTCCAGGGTTCAGATACAGAAGGCAGGACCATGTGTGGTCAGTTTGAACAGAAAGGGATTTAATATAGGGAATTAGTACCTGTACAATCATTGGAAGGACTGCAAAGCAAGTATCTAGTCTGACCTCCTAGAAATAAGCTCTCCCCTCCAGAACACATCATTTAACTGGTCCCCTGGAGATTTACTCTCTGCCAGTCAACAAACTGAGGAGTCAAAAAGTGATATCTAGCCTAGTGCTGGTGCTATTCAGAAGGCTGAGACCTGAGGATCGAGGTTCAGAGCCAGCCTGGGCAGGAAAGCCATGCGGCTCTAATCTCCTCAAACTACAAAAAAAAAAAATCGCGGGGTTGGGAAGGTGGCTCAGTGGTAGAGCGCTTGCCTTGTATGCATGAGGCCCTGGGTTCAATTCCTCAGCACCACATAAGCAAAAAAGAAAAAAGCCGGAAGTGGCGCTGTGGCTCAAGTGTTAGAGCACTAGCCTTGAGCTGAAGAGCTGAGGGACAGCGCCCATGCCCAGAGTTCAGGCCCCAGGACTGGACCCAAAAAAAAAAAAAATCGCATAGTACATTAAAACAAGAAAAACCTCTAAAAAAACCCAAGAGTCTTAGACTTTCCTGCTGGGGCTGGCTTTGAACTGCAATCCTTAGGTCTCAGCATCCTGAGTATCTAGGATTACAGGTGTGGGATCACTGATGCCTACCTCTCCCATGCTGCCTCTTTATTCCTGCCCTACAGCAGCTGACTTCCCAGCACTTCTCAAGGGAATCTCTGTGGCCTTCCCTTCTACAGTGAACCCAGTGATGTCTCTGCCCTCCAAAAGTTCCCCTCTGACTAGTAGACTCTGGGGCGTCAGAGTGTCTGATTACAGGTGTCAGCTACCAGCCAGTTCCCAGCACCTCCCGAGTCCTAGGCATCCCCTCTCCACAAGGAATAGCCATCATGGCCAAAGGTTGTACTTCTGTTCAGATGTGGACAGCACTGGGCATTCTGCCAGGCCTAGCCTGCAACACAGGGCTCAGGTGGAAGAATGACTCACATCCAGGAAAGGCAAGAGAAATGGTAGCTCTCCAGGGCACATGCCTGTGATGCAGGATTTTTCCACCACCACTACTAACCCACCCTTCATTTTTTGAAATATATATTTTACTATACAGAGGGAGTACAGTTACATGAGCAAGGCAATGAGTTCTTCTCCTATCAAGTGTAACCCACCTTTATGCTGTCCTCTGCCTCTGCCCTAGAAAGTGACTCCATGGGCTAAGGTAATTGAGGCCACACCATTGTTTACGCATCATGGTGACCTCATCCGCCATGACCTTTGACCCCCATGATACCTCTGTAGCTGTACTGATGTTTAACTTCAGGGCCTCAAACTTGCCAGCAAGTGCTCTACCTCTTGAGTCATGTTTCCAGCCCATTGTTCTTTAATAATTTTTCAGACTGAGTCTTAACTGGTTTTGGTTTTTGTTTTGTTTTGCCTGGGCTAGCCTTGGACCTGAATCCTCTTAGCTATGCTTCTTGTACAGCTGAGATTATGGGTAACGACCACCACATTTGGCCCCCAAAATCTCTCCACCTTGCTTCTTGGCAGCCATGTCCCTTCATACTTTTCCTGTGTTCAGCTTTCCCAGAACTGCTCAAGGGTGCTACCTTCCCAGTCCTCCCACAGCACACCCCTGGAGTGAGGGAACTTCAGACCCTACCAAGGGCTAAACAGTAAAACATAGTATCTGCCGACTCCTACAGTCTTTGGATGGCTTTTCTAGGTTAAGTCACCAATTTTCCTTTAAATACATTTGTATTTAAGTGACTAAAGCACCAACAGTCCCTGGGGCATTCCACCTGCCCTTCAAACCCCAAACCTGTGATCACTGCATCCCTCTACTTGATTTAGGCCACCTTTTTCTAGTATCTATTCCTTGTGACTGTACTGAACAAGATTTGCAAAGTGGTTATAGTTATAATTTATTATTTTATAAACAATTATTTTTGTGTCCAAGTTTTCTATTCAAATGGCCCCTGCCCTGCCCTGTGGGACCTAGTCATGGTTTACCTCAGCCCGTGAATTCCTCAGGCAGGCCCTTAGACCTTCGCAGTGTGCAATGGCAGCTGACTCTCAGACCGCCCCGACCCAATTCTGCTCTGAGCTCTGCACGGGGGTTCCTGGCTGCTGCTGCTGCTGCCAGGTCTGCCGGCTGCTGCCATCAGCCACTTTGGGTCCCAGATCTGCTCAAAAAGACCCTCAGGAGCTTTGTTTAGTTCCTTGAAAACAATAGAAAAGAATTTCATTGAGGGGCTGGGAAGGTGGCTCAGTGGTACAGCACTTGCCTTGCATGCATGAGGCCCTGAGTTCGATTCCTCAGCACCACATAAACAAAAAGAAAAAAGCCAGAAGTGGCGCTGTGGCTCAAGTGGTAGAGCGCTCGCCTTGAGCTGAAGAGCTGAGGGACAGCACCCAGGCCCAGAGTTCAGGCCCTACAACCAGCCCCCCCCCCCCAAAAAAAAAGAATTTCATTGAAGCACAACTAGCAACCTTGAAAAACATTTACAGAATTTTATGTAATTTGAGAACTGTAATGATGCAGGGAATGTTCTTGAGAACTGCAATGAAAATCATTATCTGTCACTAGAGGCTATCCTTGTGTCTGACAGTGATTCCTGTTTCATCCCTGATCTCTCAGGATTTCCTCCTTGACAAAACCTAACTCCTGCTCATAACAACTAAAAAGCAACATTCAGCTAGCCACTCAGAAGGCTGAGATCTGAGAATCACAGTCTGAAGCCAGTCTGGGCAAGAAAGTCTGTGAGATTGTTATATCCACTACCAAAAAAAAAAAAAAATAGCTGGAAGTAGAGCTCAAGTGGTAGAGTGCTAGCCTAAAGCAAAAGAAGCTCAGAGATCTAGTGGCCAGGCCCTGAGTTCAAGCCCCAGGAGTAGCACCAAAAAAGAAAAAAAAAGAAAGGTTGCATTCAGCAGGCCTATGCAGTCTCCTCGCCTCTACCTTTTTATTGTCCAGATGAGATCAACTAAGATGCTCCCTCCAAACATGATGGTACTCATGGCCCTGCTCCGAACACCTATCCTAACAACTATACAATAATGGTGATGTTCCTGAGCAGGAACAGAATGGTGCCTCACATCCTGGGTGGTCCAAGAGCTGGCCCAGTCACAGCTACAGAGTTCCTCTTCACAAGCCAGTGTTCCACTGATAAGTCTCAACTCCCCCACTCCACACACAGAGGTCTAGCCCATCCTTTTCCAAGCTGTAGAAAGACCTGCCATTCATTGCAGGGAAGCATCTGAACCAAACTCGCCACGCCCAGGCGTCCAGAGCACTCCACCAGTCCCAGCGGCTTCCACGGAGGCGCTGTGCATTGCAGAAGAAGAGCCCACATTTCCAAAAGGGAGCCTGGCTGCAGAGCTCAGCTCTGAACGGGGCTGGCGCGCCTTCCCCGGCCCTCCCTCCCCACGACAGCCTCCAGCACCCGGGGGAGGGGCGCCGCGTGCCCGCGCTCCAGGCTCGGAGCAGGGTGAGGGGCCGGCCCGGCCTGCCCGGGAGCAGGAGCCACACAACGCCCGCCAGCCGCTAGCGTCCCCGCTACCGCGCCCGGTTTCTGGGCAGCGCGGGCCGCCGCGGGGTCGGCCTCGTGGGTTTCCCCCCGGCCCTGCGGTCCGGCCGGGAACGAGACCCTCTCCCGGCCCTCCCGCGGCGGCTCCTGCTCCAGGAGAGTGGCCGTCGCCCGGTCGCCGCCTCCGTGAGGCCGGGTGGCCTCCGCCCTCCCTCAAGGCCTCCCGGCTGCCCACGTCCCGGGGCGGCGGGGCGCAGTTCGGAGGGGTCCAACGGCCCGCGTCCGGGGCTAGCGCGGGCGGGGTCGGAGCCAGCCGTACCTCCGGACGGGCTGGCCAGTGGGGGGCCGCGTCCGGACACTCCGGCACCCCAACCCCGCACGCGGGGCACGCGGTATCTCGCGGTTCATGAAAGGCCGCGGGCCCCTCGGTTCTCCCTCCGCTTTGTGCATTCACAGCCACCACGCCGGAGCTCCACGTCGGAGCCCCGGAGCCGGAGCGAGACCCCAGCGGCCCACGCCGCCCGCCACGCCCGCGGCCGGGACCTCCGGAGGCCCGAGCCCGGCGCGAACCGGGCCAACGGCGCCGAGAGGGGGCGGAGCCGGCGCGTGCAGCCCCGCCCCGGCCCAGAAGGCCCCGCCCCCGTCGGCCTGGGCCCGCCCTCGGCAGGCCTAGCCGCGGGCTCGGGCCTCGTCGCCCCGCCCCGGCCGATCACGAGCCGACGAGCATCACGGGATCAGCGGCGGGGCCGGGGCGGCCGGAGGCGGAAGCGCCGGGGGCACCGCCGCCTGCTGTCCCAACCCGCCTCTCCTGGGCTCCGAACCGACCTCGACCCACCGCGCCCCGGGCTGCGGGCCACGGTCCCGGTCGGGACCCTCTGGACACCGGAGCCCGAGCCCCGAGCGAGCATTCAAAGGCGTCCGGGGAGCTGTACCCCGGCCCGGGCCCCGGGTTCTGCCAAGCCGGCCGGAGCTCCGGAGAAGTATTTGGATCTGGGTCCCAAGGGGGAGCGGCCTTGTGCTCTGCGGAGAGGCCCGGGGTCGGGAGGGGAGGCCCGGGGTCGGGAGGGGAGGCCCGGGGTCGGGGCCGGGAGGGGAGGCCTGGGGTCGGGGCCGGGAGGGGAGGCCCGGGGTCGGGGTCGGGAGGGGAGGCCCGGGGTCGGGGTCGGGAGGGGAGGCCCGGGGTCGAGGTCGGGAGGGGAGGCCTGGGGTCGGGGCCGGGAGGGGAGGCCCGGGGTCGGGAGGGGAGGCCCGGGGTCGGGAGGGAAGGGGAGGGTCGGGGCCGGGGTCGGGATCGGGAGAGGAGGGCCGGGGTCGGGGCCGGGGCCGGGCCTGGGGTCGGGAGGGGAGTGCCGCGGTCAGGAGGGAGGGCCGGGGCCGGGGTCGGGAGGGGAGGACGGGGGTCGGGGCCGCAGCCGGGGTCTGGAGGGGAGGACCGGAGTCGGGGTCGGGGTTGGGGTTGGGGCTGGGGTCGGGAGGGGAGGGCCGGGGTCAGTGGGGGAGGGCTGGGCCGGGCCCGTGGGGTCACCTCTCCTTCCCTCCCAGGACGCTGCAGACAGGCTCCTGAGTTCCGTGCCATGAGGGCTCTCTGGGCCGTCTCCCTGGCCGTGGCTGCAGGCCTGGCCTCCGCCAGGCCCCCTAACATTGTGCTGATCTTTGCTGATGACCTCGGCTATGGGGACCTGGGCTCCTACGGGCACCCTAGCTCTACCACCCCCAACCTGGACCAGATGGCTGCCGGAGGGCTGCGGTTCACAGATTTCTACGTCCCCGCGTCTCTGTGCACACCGTCCCGGTGAGTGGGGGCCTCTCATCCCTCTCCACTTGTCCAGTTCCTTCCAGAGGCTCTGGGGTGGAGGAAGGGACCCATCTCTGTGGGGCAGTCCGCGTCTGCTTGTCGCTGTGGGACTCGACATCCTGTACCTTGTCCTCCAGGGCTGCCCTCCTGACCGGCCGGCTACCTGTTCGTTTGGGCATGTACCCAGGCGTCCTGGGGCCCAGCTCCCAAGGCGGCCTGCCCCTCGAGGAGGTGACCCTGGCCGAGGTCTTGGCTGCCCAAGGCTACCTTACAGGGATGGCCGGCAAGTGGCACCTTGGAGTGGGGCCAGACGGGGCCTTTCTGCCCCCTCATCAGGGTTTCCACCGCTTCCTGGGCATTCCATATTCCCACGACCAGGTATAAACCACCAGGGCCCCTTAGCACCTGACCAGCCCCGCCCCGGAACCCCGGAGCCCAGACTCCGCACTGCAGTGCCCTTCCTCTCCTCAGGGTCCCTGTCAGAACCTGACCTGCTTCCCACCAGACACCCCGTGCCACGGCAGCTGTGACCAGGACCTAGTGGCCATCCCCCTGCTGGCCAACCTGTCTGTGGAGGCGCAGCCCCCCTGGCTGCCAGGGCTAGAGGCCCGCTATGTGGCTTTCTCCCGAGACCTGATGTCTGATGCCCAGCACCAGGGCCGCCCATTCTTCCTGTACTACGCCTCCCACGTGAGTGACCTGGCCTCATCCTCTTGAGACTGCCTGAAACCCCTGCTGATGCTGACTGGCATCTCCACCCCCAGCACACCCACTACCCTCAGTTCAGTGGGCGCAGCTTCACGGGCCACTCGGGCCGAGGGCCATTTGGAGACGCCTTGATGGAGCTGGATGCAGCTGTGGGGGCCCTGATGACAGTCATAGGGGACTTGGGGCTACTTGGAGAGACGCTGGTCATCTTTACCGCAGACAATGGGTACGACCCAGGGCCGAGGCTACTCCCTGCTTTGACATAGGCCAGGGCCTTGAGGTCCTTTCACTTTTGCTGCTGGCTGAAGACATTGTGAGGCTGGGGGAGGGGGTCTTAGGAAACGCTGGCCAAGTTAGGCTGGGGGGTGGTACAGGTGCACAGAGGTACTGGTCTCGGTAGGGCAGGAAGGCATCAGGCATTCGGAGCCCTGTTTCTAACTTTGAAGAGTGAGGCTGGTGGCAGGAGGTCCTAGGCACCTCTGTGTTGATGATCTCCTTGTGTGTCCCAGGCCTGAGACAATGCGCATGTCCCGTGGCGGCTGCTCTGGCCTTCTGAAATGTGGAAAGGGAACGACCTTCGAGGGTGGTGTCCGAGAGCCCGCCTTGGCCTTCTGGCCTGGCCATATTACTCCTGGTCAGTTCTCTGACCCTGTCCTTGTAGACCCCTGACCCCTGAGCCAACCTTGGTAAAGTGAGTGACCAAATAGCCTTCTGCTCCTAGGTGTGACCCATGAGCTGGCCAGCTCCCTGGACCTGCTGCCCACTGTGGCAGCCTTGACTGGAGCTTCGCTGCCCAATGTTACCTTAGATGGTGTTGACCTCAGCCCTCTGCTGCTTGGCACAGGCAAGGTAAGGCCATGACCCCTCATTCCCAACTACCCATGAGTGCTCATTCAGTGACCCCTCAATCCCAGTTACCCCATGAGTGTTAACACAGCACTTCTTGAGAGTCTGTGCCTCCCATCTCCTTTGGTGAGTGACCTTTGAGTTGGTACCACCTTTCATATTCCTAGGTAGGGAAGAGATGCACAGCTAATATCTACCACAAAGGCTGACAGCTGTTAAGGGACCACTTCTATTGTGTGCCCCTCACTTTGACCCTAGAGTCCTCGGCACTCTCTCTTCTTCTATCCGGCCTACCCAGATGAGGTGCGTGGTGTCTTTGCTATCCGGAGCGGGAAATACAAGGCTCACTTCTTCACCCAGGGTAACATCCTCTTTCTAGCTCCCTCTTCCCAATCCCACTGACCCCTGTAGCCCAAACCCTGACCCCTCCTCTGGCTCTTGCCCTGTGCACATAGCTGACCCTTCCCCAGGCTCTGCCCACAGCGACACTACCCCGGACCCTGCCTGCCACGCCACTAACCCTGTGACTGCTCATGAGCCCCCCCTGCTCTATGACTTGTCTGAGGACCCTGGTGAGAACTACAACCTCCTGGATGGTACAACTGAGGTTTCCACAGAGGCTCTGATGGCAATGAAGGACCTCCAGCTGCTCAAGGCCCAGTATGATGCAGCCATGACCTTTGGCCCCAGCCAGATGGCCCGGGGTGAGGACCCAGCCCTGCAGATTTGCTGCAAGCCGGGCTGCCACCCCCATCCAGCCTGCTGCCACTGCCCAAATCACCGACCCTGAGGGCAGCTGGCCAAGTCATTGGAGATTGCCCCCAAAGGCCAGTCCAGGGCCTCTGGCCCCATCTTGGGTGTGTGATAATTCACCAATATGAGGGGACAGGGGCAAGGGTGTGCAGATAGTTTGTATCTAATAATGTAATAACAGCAGCTGAGACTTGCAGGTGTGCTAATTCATCTAATCTTGGAAACTGTATGGTCAGTACTATTCCCCACTGTTACAAACAAGGAAGCGGAAGCACAGGAAAGTTCAAGGCCCTGTCCAAGGTCATCCCACCAGAAAAGCTGTGCTGAGATTTGGCAGTACAAAGGTCTGAACTCGGGCCCTTGAACTTGCGGAGAAGGCCTTCTACTACTTGAGCCATGCCCCAAGCTGGGCTTAGACTTGAACCCAGGCATTCTGGCTCCAGAAGTTGCCCTTACCCTGGTGACTGATGTGTGCACATTCAGTCAAAGGAACGAGAAGTACCTTTAGATGCTAGGAACCAGGAAGCTGGTGAGGGCAACTCAGTCCCCCAGGAGCTAGTCTCCCTGATGGAAGCATTCAAAGGCTCTGGAGCTGCTCCCTTTGTTCTTCATCAGAGATCTATGTGGAGTCAGGTGGTGGTGATCTGCATATTCCAGGTAGGGTGAAGGGGTTCGGGCCCTGCTGTCTCCTGGAAAGGCCTGTCAGCGACTCCTGGATAGCGAGTCCCATGGAACCTCTTCACACCTACTTAACACCACACCTGTGGTCCTGTACTAGACGTTTTCTTCCAGACACATGATCTCTTTAAAACATCTTAGAATAAAATCGAAGCTCCTTTGCCTTGCCCCACAGCACTCTGTCTTTCAGGATGATCTGACTTCCCTCCACACGCAGTGTTCTGCCACCTCGGCAGAAAAGAACCTTCTGCCTTCTGTATTTGCTGGGACATAGCATGCTGACACCTGTCACATGCTCCTCAGTGTGTTAGCTAGGTGTATTGATAACTCTGCTTAGAAAACTTGCCTTCTTTGCTAATGTGTCCCCACTTCATTGCCTCCTTGATATCAAGGAGGTAACCTCTCCCTGGCCCAGGAGGATCAGGCTAGTCACAACACAGTAATTGCTCTGGGCATGGCATGTGAAAATGACTCGGTAGTTAAAGTTCAGGTTGGTCCTCCATTGAGAACTTGGCTGCAACAGAATGTTGACCCTGGGAGGACACCTGCAGCTTCTAAAACCAGTGTCTCCCGCCGACCTGATTACAAGGTACCAGGTCTAAGACAGTAAACCCGCCTGAGTACGCCACTGTTGGTGAGCTTGACAGCCATTTGCAGCTAAAGTGGTGTTGCAGAAAGGAAACCTAAATGGGGTAGGTAGGAAGCAGTTGTGCATGAGTGACCTCACGTTACTCATGTAACTCTCCTGTCACTTTCAATCTGGTTGAGAAGCTGTGCTGACTACACCCCAAGTTCTAAGTCTTGGCTGCCCCAAGACAGTTTCCTTGGGCACCTTCAGGAGACACTGATGGGGCCGAAAGAATTATTAATTATTAATGCAGGGACTGGCCCCAGCTGGTGCCTCAGTTCGGGTGAGGACAGAACAGGGTGAAGCAATTTGATCATATGCTATACTGACAAAACCAGTGAGTACCAGGCACAACCTGTAGGCGGCTTTTTCTGGTTCCTCACTGGCATAGAGTACTGCAGTGCAGATCCTGCCGTGTTCATCTGCTATTCTGCAGTGCCAGGGCAAGGAGTCCTTAGAAGAAACCCATCCTACTCTGTTCCTGCAGTGCTTAAGGTCTAGTAAAGGAGATGAGCTTAACCCCAGGAAATCAGACACATGGAATTTCAGTACGGTGTAAGGGACATGAGGGAGCCTGGGGATGCTACAAGTATTCTGTATATTGGAGGTGGTAACCTGGAATAAAAGAAGCTATTCACTACTTAGAATTTGCATGCTGTGTGTGCCGTTGTGTATTTTGTACTTCAGTAAAAAATACTGTGTGAAAGCACCAGAGAGGTCAGGCACCGATGGCATTCACGCTATAGTCCTACTCACATCCAAGGATCACAGTTCAAAGCCAGCCCAGGCAGGAAAGTCTGAGACTTATCTTCAATTAACCCCCCAAAAGCTGGTAGCGGAGCTGTGGCTCAAGTGGTAGAGCACTAGCCTGCACAAAGAAGCTCAGGGACAGCACCCAGGCCCAGGTCCAAGCTCCAGGACTGGCACAAAACAACTTAAGTTTTTAAAGTTGGAAAGGAAGAGTTAAGAGTTATGTGGTGGAGGTGGAGCAACAGATGGGTGGCCAGGAATACTTCCCTGTCAGCTAGTGTCTGAGGGATTCAAACTGCCCTCACACCCACAGTTGAATCTTTCCACCCTCCCACGTTTCTAACAGGCTCATGTACACACATGCATTTGTACACACACATGCATTATACACGCAATCAATAACATGTTATCACAGCCCCAAAGGCCATGTCCAGTGTTTTCCCTGGGAGACCAATGCATTTACCAGGCTAGCTGCTATCTGTTCTGACAGACCAGCTTTCTCAGGGAGCCCAGTGTCTATCTGGATGGGGTTAAGGGTGTTTTAGAATGGGCGGGACAAAAATACGTTGTGCCTGGGGCTGCGAAGGTGGCTCAGTGGTACAGTGCTTGCCTACATGCACGAGGCCCTGGGTTCAATTCCTCAGCACTACATAAGCGGAAAAAGCCAGAAATGGCACTGTGGCTCAAGTGATAGAGCGCTAGCCTTGATCTGAAGAGCTGAGGGACAGCGCCCAGGCCCAGAATTCAGACCCCGTGACCGGGGAAAACAAAACAAAAACGTTGTGCCTGACTTTTCCTCAGGTATGTCAGGAGAAGGAGCTATGCAGAGCCCAACCATCCAAAAGAAGGGAGGCTACCCCTTCCTAGCCCTACCACCCCTTCCCACTCCTGTTCCTGAAATGACCAAAAGGGGGAGCAATGTTTAAGTTTGCCTCTTTTGTGAACTTTTTTTTTTTGGGGGGGAAATACTGGGGCTTGACCTCAGGGCTTTGTGGTTACAGATGCTTTACCATTTGAGAAACAGCTCTAGTACCTTTTTGCTTTTGTTATTTTTTAGACAAGATCTCTTTGCCCTATTGGAGCAAGGATAGATATATCCCACTACGTCCACCTTCTGTTGAGCTGAAGTCTTGAACTTCTTGCTCAGGCTGACTTTGAACCATGACCTCCTGATTTCTACCTCCTGAGGAGCTAAAATTAAAAAAGCTATCGGCACCTGGCTCTTTTGGGGGCCTCACGCACTCTTTTTCTCAGGTCTGATGCTCTACACCTTGAGCCACACCTACACTTCAGTTTTTTGCTGATTAATTGGAGGTAAGTTTCACAAAATGGACTTTCCTGCCTAAGCTGGCTACAAACCGCAAGCCTTAGATCTCACCTTCCCAAGTAGCTAGGATTACAGGTGTGAACCATGGGCAGCTTTTAAATAATACTTCCAAGCTCCAAGTAGGTCATTTATCAAGGTGTGTGCAGCACCCTAGGTGAGCTGGCCCACACTTCGTAGGCTCATGCAGGAAGGACACAGGGTGCTGTGGCCATTGAGGCCTCCACGTGGTGAGCAGTGACGGACCCCCAGCATGACTGCAGAAACCACCAAAGCCTCTCCCAAGTCCCAAGAACACTGGGGACCCCACATCCCTTGCCACTGGCAGCGCTGGACACGCCTTACAAAGAGCCAGGGTCACACCAAGCAGAGTTTATTGAGGCCAGGCCTGGCCCGCATACACAGCGGGCAGCGCACACAGGGAGGATATGCACTGGACTGCAGGGGCGTTTGCGGCAAAGCAGACAATGTGTAGGGGGTGTCCAGCGGGCGGCCTCCTAGCAGCATGAGGGGTTTGAGTGAGCATTAAGAACCACTTCCAGTGGTCCCAGAGCTTCCTTGGGCACCCCTCCCTGCTTCCCCTGTGCTCCCTGTGTGGCAGAGATGGGGTCCCTCTCTGTCCCTGTGTTCAAAGTTGGGGTGACCCCTTGAGATTCACTATAAAAATTCAAATTCCCTTATAAATTACAGAGGAGGGCAGGAAGGGATCACTGGAGAACCTGACTACCAGTCACCTCAAGTTTTCCACACGCCCCAAGTTCTGACCCTAAAGGAGAGTGCAAAGGGTAAGGTCTGCAGGCACGGAAAGGGGCAAGAGACAGAGGGGAGGAGAGGGAGGCTGGGGAACAAGGTGACTGAGGACAATGGAAAGGATGCATCAGAGGGAAACCTGGGGCACTGGAGACCCGCTCCCCAGCAGCCTCACCGCCGTGCCCTGGGAACGGAGGGGGAAAGCTCCAGGCCTGGAGCTCTCCTATGACATAAGGTACTGTGTGTCCCCAATCCAGTCCTTGCCCAGCCCACAGTGGCCAGAGCTTCCTCCCACTACTCCAGGTAGATGTCTTCTGTGGGGCAAGCAAACGCCAGGTGCTCCTGGTAGTACTCCAGGAAGGCGCGGCTGTGGAGAGGGGTGGAATCAGTCCAGTGCTCCTTCTGCCTCTCTACCCAGCCAGGTAACACCCCTCTGCCCAAAGACCTTGTCGACACCACAGCATCTTTTGCACTCCACAACAGTGCCCGAACTGTCGACCGTTACCCCCGGGATCCTCCCCGACCTTCCCACTTACCCGACACTCTGCGCTACTGGTCTCATGGATTCCTGAGACACAAAGACGTGGCAAGCAAAGCGGCTCAGCAGCGGGTGTTTGGTGATGAACCCGAAATAGCTGTGGGAAAGTTGGTGGAGAGAACGTCAAGAACACTGACCCAGCCCTGGGGGCCCCCTTAAAGACCTGGAGAGCAGAGGCAGGAACAAAGAGGTTGTGAAGAAGGCAGGAGACAAGACTATGAGGGCCAATTTCAAAATCTTAAATTGTCTTTTGGGGTTGCAGCCCAAGCAGGGGGGTGGGCACCCCAAAGGAGCATTAGAGTTCTTTGTCAATTCCTCAAACAGGGGCCTCTATCTTATACTGGAGTCGGAGGCATCGTCTTCCCTTCCCCACCCCAAGACTCTCAGAGCCTCTCCCAAGAGCACTGGACATTGTTCTGAACAGCTCCCCTGGCTCTGCCTTGCTTAAGGCTTCTGTGAGCCCATCCATCTCTGCCTCTGGTCATACAAATACAGCTGTCTTTTAAGCTTGGATAGTGCACTGGGTACCAATGCATCTGTAAAAACCCTTTGGATTCTCTCTCTCCAACTGGAGAAGCACCCTGCCTAGCACTCCTGCAACTCATCCCTTCCCATGTGTCTCCATTCCGTCCAAGACACTGAGCAACTAGAGGTAGCTGGTCCACAACCTGAGATTCCACCTCTCTCCCCATCCTGAATAACGATAGTTACTAAAGCACAAAAACTCACAACCACCCCATAGAATAGGTGTCTTTTGATAGAGGGCTAAGCACACAGAGGGACAATATTCTACCCAAGGACACACAGCCAGTCTGTGGCAGCAATGGAATAAGTGGCTCTTGGATCTTCCAAACACAGCACACCCAGACATGACTGAGTCATCATCTATTTCACAAGAAAGTGAGTTAACCAGACACTGAGCACTGATTCCTTAGTCTCCTCACGGAGGAAACAGGCTGGGTTCTGAAGCACATCTTGACCCTAAACTACTTGCCTGGATCATCTTTCTCCCATGGATTTGCAGATGGGTCAGTGGTCACCTTGGAGCGCTGAGTGTGGCACCATGATTTAATTTTATCTCCTGACAGTGTCATTCCTGACTGTCCTTGTGGCTTCGGTGGATGCTCCCACAGTCTGGCCCAAGCCCTGGCACTGACCTGGCTTCTACCCCTCAGAGCAGCTCCCTCCTCAATGGAAAAAGGCTGCACGTAACCATTTCCTAGACAGCAGGTTGCCATGCCACTGTTCATGCTTGAGTCCAAACCACTCCTGTGATACCTTTAATACCTGTTCCAACTCTCAGCCCTGGAAATACCCTAACTACCCTGCACCCTACCTGCTGAGTCTCTCTAGCTCCTGAAGATCATTTGTAACCTCTGATTGGCCCTGTCTCTGGTTCTCCTCTCTCCTTTATCTAGGATGCTAGGACCCAGTGGGCAAGAATCTGTGCCTAGGGAAGATGGCAGCCCCCTACCACCTACTCCCACTCTTCATCTCACACTGCCTGGCTGTTTTTCCTACCTCATGATCTCAGTTATCTGGTCCAAAATAAAACCTTCTTCCAGGGGCTTGGAATATGGCTTAGTGGTAGAGTGCCTGCCTAGCATGCTTGAAGCCCTGGGTTTGATTCCTCAGTACCATATACACAGAAAAAGCCAGAAGCGATGCTGTGGCTCAAGTGTGGCTCAAGGCTCTAGCCTTGAGCACAGAGAGGCTCAGGGACAGTGCCCAGGTTCCAAGTTCAAGCCCTTGGACCAGCAAAAAAAAAAAAGAAAAAAACCTTCTAGCCCTCCCCTCTGAACTTCAGACGACTGTATGACTGGGCTTGTATCTCTTCTGCTCCTGTCTGCCTATCACCCAATTGAGTATTTCCACTGATTCCTTCCAGGTCAGCCTCTGCAACCCATCAACCTAATCTTTTCTGTCCCACCTCTTAAATACCTACCATCATGAAACTTCCCATCATGGAACCACACCTAGATTTCTCATCAGCCACCTAGTCTCCTTTGGCAGCAGCTGATCAATGCACTATACACAGCAGCCAAGGCTAGCTAGCAGCCTGCCCAGATCATTTCCTTCCACCAGGACCTTTCTGTGGCTCCACAGCCAATGGAAGGTTGCACAAGCCCCTTGGCAGTCAAAAGGCCCAGCCCTCTACTGACACTTTTGTTCTCCATTGTCCCGGCTTCTTCCCTTATGCCAGTGTATCCCACAGCCTTGGCTTCCATGGCTGCCTACAAGATGATTCACTTCTTCCATCTCTATTACCATCTTTATCATTTTGCAACC